GGGCAGCAGTTGCAAGTGGAACGGGAGTTGATTCACGGCGCAACTCATGCATAGCTCAAAAGGACTAGAGACTTTCAATTTACGCAAAAGACGTACAACCATTCTCTCAAGCCACCCTATCTCCATGAGACAAGATAGGTTATGGAATACGCAATCAAACCGATAAAAATTAACAAGCGCTGAAGTAAAGACAAACAAAGGACCTACATTACATTACACACATCATCTTAATGATGAAAAAAACAATCACACTTCCAACCTAGACAAATTTAGTCAGGTAGAGCACTAAATGTGGGCTAGCTCCTATTTAAATTGTTGGCATAGAACAGAACTCTTGGGACTTCAGAGGTTTGCCATTCCTTCATTTGACTTCTAATGGATCCAAATTACAGACGTCCGCGCGATTGGTACTCAAGACTAATCAAACAATAGACAGGCACCAAAGCCGAGATCGTATTACTGCATTCCTGACAGACGTCACATGACCAAAATGACTTGCACAAAACTGCCCTGACCTCATAGGAGGTCAAGTGAATACATTAGCAGTGACGACTTTTGCAAAACAACTTATTTGGAGGCAACAGATAGCAGGCTGAAGCAGAGGCGACAGTTATTACTCACCTTAATAACAGATATTCACCCAGGCCAGAACGCCTAAAAGCAAATTAGTAGATGTATCTAACATTTACCGTAAGCAACACAAATCCATATGCTGGCCTCAGCTACCACAGGTTAATCAGGTCATATTACGCAGATAACACAAAGGCGTTTAGATACGGCAAGAATAATTGGCACCGATTTCGAGGATAAAGTAAGTGAAACATCACATATTTGCTGCCTTGATCAATACAACTAAAAACCTATTCAACATGCCTTTGCTTGAAAATAGAAATAAAGCGGCCGTTGAAGAGATTTTGTAAGGAAGGAGTTACTAGCACTCACATTTTACCGACTGATAAGAAACGACTTCGTGATCCATCAAAGCCTCTAGTAGTATCACACATGGAGCAAACAGGTGGGTTATCAAGATCGAAGAGGACAATCAACCGCCACAACCCTTACACATCGGACCAGAAACATTTTGCATCTATGCAAAGCTCTAAATTAGGGGCTACCAACTATCCGAAACAAAAAGAACACATGCCACAAGGGTAATGCACTGAAATTAATTATTTTCGAGGTAAAAGGTTGAAAAAAGGTGCTAACGTTCCCTCCTGGAATCGTGCTAAGTCAACATTTAGTCTCGAATAGAGAGTAGATGAAGCAGTTTGACAATTCCGCAATTGAAGCTGGAAAATAAATCCATGTACTAACTTAGTGTTGCTGTAG